GTTACTGGACTAAATTTGAGCTCAGTAAGATTTTTAGCTTAAAAAAATATTTTCAAGCGCTGAGTCGCGAGATTTATTGTAGAAAGATAAGCAGCTTCAGATCTAGCTCAGAGATTGAGCTTGGGATTGACGGCCTTGCAATAGATTGTACGACAAGGAACAGATCGTGTTAATTGTGTTAGGTTTTACACGTGAAGCTGGAATGGACCTGAGAAATGCATTCAAGTTGAAATCCTAACTCTCAAGAAATAAGATTTTCCAATGAGTCCGGGTAGCTTGCCAGAGAAACTGGTGACAGCAAGTTCTAGATCCTGAAGGGGGCGTTGCTTTGGTGAAATTTGGGCAATTGGCCCAGTGAGATTTTCATTAACAAACACACTGAAAAATTGAAGTTTGGTAGGGGAATATGCTTACTGGAATTCCCCACGCCAGCCACAATCTTTTAGAACAAGAGTTGTCAAGGAAGGTAAAGTTGGCCATGATATGAGTTATGTGCAGGAAGAGTATGATCACCTTACTGAGATGAAGCTCTTGAGGTTAGTTCAACTTTTTGAAGTAAGCTTCTCAGCCATACTTTTCAGTTTCACTAGTCTTGCGTTTGATGAGTGAATACTTGTAGGAAACTAACATCGTAAGAGTAGGATCAACTTGTGAGAAGATCAAGCAAAACTATTTTGACCAAATTTTGCATCTCTGGAGGTTTGGACCTGAAAAAAGAGATAGGGAAAAGTTGAGAACTCGTTAACCTATGGAGCTGGCAAAATTTCTGAATGGGTATCGAGAGCTAATTGACAGTCATTATTGGCAGGTTAAGTCTCTGAAGGTGAACTGCGCTAGTAGAGGTGCTACTTGAATTTAAGAAAAATAGAGGGAAACTGCTGTCAGGCCAGGCCATCACAATGACCGAGTGTCCCATCACACTCGCACATCCCATGAGGCAGCAATTGCTAGTTTCTCCTTCGAGGAGCTTCCATGCATGCAACCTTTGGGTAAAGCAGCAAGGGACGACCAGAAGCAGATCCAATCCAATCCTAAAAAACATTTCAAACCCCAGACCCGCCCATTATTCCAGTTATATATGGCTTTTGCAAGTGAATTTGGGACCTGATACGTTAATATATTTATAAACTTTACACTGATGATTTATCTATTAGTAGTATTCAGTTCAATCCACTTCCTGAATCTACATGTAAACTAGGGGTGGAAAACTGGTGATTGTGAGGTGCATATATTTTTTTTTCCATCATTGCATGGAAGTAGATGGAGTAATGGCATCTTTATCGATTTCATTCTTTCCAGCTAGCTTGACTTCCACTCACTTGTGCTATCACTAGCTTGACTTCATCAATGTACTGTGTGGCGTTGATAAACAGATGGCTAGCTGGTGAATGAATGTCAGGCACATAGGTCTTGTGATTATAGTTATTGTTCGTGTTTCAATTTATTTAGCTATTGTCGGTCAGGTGGAACTTAATAAATAGTCAATCAAATTGGTTATGTTCTGCTATGACGTTTTTGATTTTGTACCCAAAGTAGTGTTGTACATGATATGTTCTTTGATTATGACTAAGGTGATTTTTATCTAATATGCATATTGTTTTATACTTTGTAACATGACTGAAATTATTAATTATATATAATATTAATAGTTGAAGGTAAAGGATTGCATATAGTATGTATATTTTTTAGGGTGTCTGTTGAATTTCTCTCTCTCTACTCTCTCTCTCTCTCTCTCTCTTTCTCCATATACTATATGTAATTATATTGATATACGAATCATACATGATCAGCACTAGTGAGAATCACCTTGCACAATGGTTTGTGAAAGCTTTCATTTTGGTCCTCTTGGGTAAGTAAGGTAAATCTTTTACCATTAGAAAGTAGGAAGTAACGTGGGATTGTGTTGAATCCGTTAGATGACAAGATGACCAATTTTTACCATTAAAATTACATTCTAAGATCACAAGACATTTATTATGTTCCATATTACTTAGGAAAAATGTTTTGTTACCGTAGCCATTACGTGTTTGGAAATACATGTTCCGGCTTATTATGATTTTCTGTTCAAAACAATAAATTGCGATGCCAACGTATCTCAAAAGTTTGTTATACATATTATATCCCTTAAGGGTTTTTAGGAGTTAAAAAAAAAGAAAAAGAATTAAATCTAAGGTGAGTGTAATTTTACATAAACAAAAACGGTAAAAATGAGTTAAAATGTGTTGCTATGATTAATTGAAGAAACTTAGATTTTATTTGATGATTTCATTGTTAAAACATTTCTGACTAAAAATATTATTTAAATTCTTACAGTTGCAACAGTGTACAAGGTTTCCTTCATCTTACTATATTCTCGGAGCTGTGGCTAGATAATTACACGTATAACGCATACAATTTAATTTTTTAAAAAAATTTTATCATTACTAGCTTTTACTAAGATGGGTGTGGGAGTGAGAGATGCAACAACTTTTTTTTTTTGGTCACAATTTGTGGGATTTTGTTTTTTAAATAGAACCTAAGACACTTTATTAGGGAAGTATTTGGCATAGAATTTATTATTCTTGAAAATTAAGATACATTATGTTCAACTCATTTAATCAACTTTGCTCGAAAACTTACCTCGAAAGTTTGGGAACTGTATGGCACCAATTTTTTTTTGTGTTAGGAAATGTAATTAGGTCCGGACTGGTTCGGATGATGGTTTGTTTTGGTGGTTTTTTTCTAGAAGATGGGTGTTTCCGAATTATTAAATAACAAGCAAACTGGTTGATCATTGGTTTCTACCATCCTCTAAGTTTCTTAACTTTATTTTCCCTAGGCTTTTTTGTTTTCTAAAAGACAAACTACGTTATAGGTCCTAAATTGGATGTGCAAAGTCTTCAATAGTTGAATCTCATGGCTGGACCGCCAAACCTGATTATATTGACCAAAGCCTTACCTGATTCCCTTTTTAACTCTAAGTTAGACCTCTTTACCTGGTCTTTTCTTATGTTGTGAGTGGATCTAGGGGTGCAAATTGGGTGGACACACTTGAGCAATCCGTAGCTTGTATTATTTTCTTTTAAGGACTATGGAAATCATTTTGAAATTTGGTTGAGTTTGGCAAAAAATTATTTAGCCCGAAATTTAAATTTTGACGGACTTAGAGCAATACATCAACAATCCAACAACCAGAAACTCAAATTACTAATATATATAAAGGATATGATTATCATATGAATTATAGCCATTAGAATGATATTAAAGTAATTTTTGATTGTTAGTCATATTGAATAATATTACTATTATCAAATAACACAACACAAAATCTTTTTTTTTTCTCTCATAAATTATAAAAAAACTTACACATAATGGCACTCTTTTGTATTTATGTAATTATTTTATTTTTGATATTATTAATGATTTTATAAAGGAAAAATGTGACACATAAAGTTAATTTGACAAATAATTAACTTAGCTACACAAAAAGAAAAGAAAAAAAAATGAATTTATGCATAATTTGGATAGCTCGGGTTATTTGGGTTTGATTTCGGAGTCAGTTTGGATAGATAACCTCTTCGTACAATTCGAGTTAGGCGAGTCTAACCAGCTCTCTGTAACAACTCGACAACCTCTTCAATCCACTCGAGAATGTTACACCTCTCAACCCACTCGAATACCCCTTAAGTAGACCTCTTAGCAGTTTTTCTTTTCTTTTCTTCCCGGTATGGATTTTGATATTCTTACAGGGAAAATTACAAACACCCCCTCGAGATTTTTGGTTGGAAAACACATTATTGCCCCCTTGAGCTTTGAAGGAAGTATTACAAATTGCCTCCGAGGATCAAATTTCATACAAAATTTGGGGGAAATTTAGGGGGAATTGTATTGAAAATAAAAATCCTAAGAGGCATTTGTATATTGAAAATATAACTCAGGGGAGGGATGTAATTTCTCAAACTCAGGAGAGAATCTGCTATTTTCACCAAACCTCAGGGGGGTTTTGTAATTTTGCCCGATTTCTTAATGGGTGGTAGTTGGAGACTTTTCAGAATAGAAGTTTTGTTAAAAAACTTGGTAGCCCAACTTCCTAATTTTCTTTCCAATTTGTTGATTTGAGGAATTTGTGGGTCTATTCGAAGAGACTGGTTGTAAACGAGCCCTGCATTAATTTGACTATCCAAAATCTAACCCTAAAATCCCAGACCACAGCCATTTACTAATATGTCAATGGGCTATTAATTTGGACCCTTTGAACAAATCTTGCTACAGATATATCGAATTATTTGTCAATATGACAAAGCTGCTTATTTGGAATCACATTTCTTCAAAGTTTTTGTTTTAATTATTATATTTTTGACTCGACAAAGAAAAAAAATTCCATTAAAAACATGAAATTTTAAAAGGTAACCAAGAAAAAAAACGCATTTTGAGAGAGTATGTCGAAAAGTAAAAGCTCACTCTTCTACTACTGCTTAACTCACGTCTTACAAACCGACTTCCTTATATAGCCTCAACAATTTATTTTAAAAACAAATAAAACAAACAATAACAAACACCCAAAAAACGTACAATTCAGACCTCTTTGAGGGCCCCCACCTAACACTGATACACAACGAACACCACACTCTGCCTCACTGCCGAAAACCACCTAAAGGCACTGACACCTAAAACACCTGAGCGCAGGTCCGGATCCTCTAGAGTGTCTCTGAAGTGATCCTTTAGAGTCGGTCCCTTGGTGCAACATGTGTCCCATTTAATGTATTCCATACGGTGGAGATTCCTTACCAAAATGGCGTTCGTTTTTGGTGAGCCAGACAAAAAAAAAAACAAAAAAAAAAAAAACTGCAGAGTGCAGGATCGAGGCGAGAGGAGGGGAGAAGAACGAAAATGGATTTGAAGGGGGACAGGATAAAGTTAAGAAAACCTGGAAGAAGAAATGGATTGATGAGAAATTGGAAGAAAATAGATTTGAGGAGACGCAATGGTCTAAATCTAGTATTCGGAGAAGAGGCAGAGAGTTCCTCTGCGTGACAACGCTTTCATCAAGTGAGTCAATCATCAGCGATACCTTCAATAAACACACAAACACACTCTCTCTCTCTCTCTCTCTCTTCTCTTCTTAACTGAATAAGTGTAATCAATCGACAAGGGATGAAATTCAAAAGACATTAAAGCAAGGAAATCCACAATATTAGACCAGAGAGACGCTTCAGTGCTGTGCAAAGAAATGTATCAAATTCAAATATTATGACAACACTTATTTATGCAAGATTTAGGGTTTCATTTTATTTCTTTATTTTATTTCTTGAGGTTTTTGTTTATTTAAGAGAAATGGAAGAATGGAAACTTGAGGAGAAATTGGAAGAAAAGTAGATTTGAGGAAGAAGAATAGATTT